CAACCTGTGTGACAGCCTGCCTGAGGGGGCTGAGCCTATGTACCCTCCATCTCCCCCAGTAGCCTGGTGGGTTCACTGGGCTTGCCTCAGTGTGGTTGGGTCACCAGGCCATCTGCCCCCAGCAGGGTTGGGGTCCCCGGTGTTCCTTCTGTCCCCCATCTGCCTACTCTCCCTTGGGAAGCCCTAGTTTCTCTCCCTCCTCCCTCCCTGCCTGACCGACTGGCTTCCAGCTCACTGCCTGGTCTGGCCTGTGACCTCTCACCAGGGCTGTCCCCAGGACCTGTTCCCCCTAGTTTGGTGTCTTCTGCCCTTGCCACCCCACCTGTGTCCCTGACACTGGCATGATATGGAGGGGAGGGGATGGACCCTCCTGGCTAGTCCAGCTCAGCCCAGGAGCCATTCTCCTTGGGGGCTCTGCCTGGAGGGGGCTTGGGAGAAGAGTTGGCTCCTCAGTGGAGTTGGGACAGGGAGGGGAATGCTAGGCTCTGGGTGACTCAGGGCAAGAAGGGGTTACCCCAAGGGTACAGAGTCCTGGGTATTCTCTTAGCTGTTGGAGGGGCCTGGTGGGTACCCCTTGGGCTCACCACTGGCTGTGGACCTGATTCTGCTGCCTCCAGCCCTCCATCCCCCTAGAGGAGCCCTTTGTCTTTGGTGGAGTTTTGAGATCCCTTTGGATCGAACAAATGAGTCAGACTGTTACACCGGTGGTCACTGTTTCCTTCCTTCCCTCTTTCCTTGTACCAGATGCTACAGTGGTTGCCACACACACCCATCTGCCCCCCTCCTCCCCACCTGCCATAGGGATCCAGGGCCTGAGGCTTAGAGAGGACCATTTTCCCTTATTCCTGGTCATCTCTTTTGTCCTCTGTGGGATGTTGCATGTCCTGCTCCTGTCCTCTGTACAGCAGTTGCAACTCCAGAGCTTTGGGATGTCAATCTTGCCACCATCCCTTGCCCTCCCCCTTCTCTCTATCCATCCCCAACTGGGCTGCCATCCAGTAGCAGTTCCAGGTAGTTAAGTGCTTGTCGGGACAGCTGTGCTCAGAGGCAAGGTTGGAGCTTCCTCTTACCATACATGATGCGTGATAGCTGCTGAAACAGGAGGCTGTTGCTGTGTCCTTCTCAGGTCTCTGTGGCATGCTACTTGTTTTGCTCCCCATGTACAGGCTCACTGATCGGACCATGAAATCCCTATTGTCTTTTTTTTTTTTTTGAGACAAAGTCTCACTATGTCACCCTCAGTAGGGTGCTGTGGTATTACAGCTCACAGCAACCTCAAACTCTTGGGCTTAAGTGATTCTTTTGCCTCAGCCTCCCAAGTAGCTGGGACTACAGGCACCCACCACAATGCCAACTATTTTTTTTGTTATAGTTGTCATTGTTGTTTAGCAGGCCCAGGCTGGGTTCAAATCCGCCTGCCTCGGTATATGTGGTCAGTGCCCTAATCATCCAGCTATGGGCACCGAGCCAAATTCTCTATTGTCAAGGTAGCATCCCCTACCCATGCGTACAACCCACCATCGACTGTCTAGGCCACAGGCCCCTGCAGTGCCAGCCTTCAGGCATTTGTGGTGGAATTGGGATGGGGAGGGGCAGGGCAGAGGCGGAGAGCTGTCCACACAGCTAGCTGCTGGGCACTGGTGGGTGGGGCTTGTAGCAAACATGGGAGGTTAAGACTGTGTGAGTGGGAAGAAAATGAGAAACAATTCATTTTTTTTTTGAGACAGTGTTCACTACATTGCACTTGGTAGAGTGCTGCGGTGCACAGCTCACAGCAACCTCAAACTCTTAGACTTAAGTGATTCTCTTGCCTCAGCCTCCCAAGTAGCTGGGACTACAGGTGCCTGCCACAACACCCAGATTTTTTTGTTGTAGTTGTCATTGTTGTTTAGCTGGCTGGGGCTGGGTTTGAACCACCAGCCTCAAGTGTATGTGGCTGGCGCCTTATCCACTGAGCTACGGGCACTGTGGAGATTCATTCATTCTTTTTTTTTTTTTTTCATTCATGATATCCTCTGTAGGGCTTCTATTCCTCTGTTTTATGTTTGTTTGTTTGTTTGTTTGTTTTTTTTTGAGACAGAGCCTCAAGCTATCCCCCTGGGCAGAGTGCCATGGCATTACAGCTCACAGCAACCTCCAACTCCTG